GCCCATATGTAATTATTTATCCCGTTTCCATCTAACCAATTGCATTTCATAAGTACCTCCCTCTTCCACTTTATGCCAAACTAATCAACTCCACATCACTCTCGAATCACTAAAAAAAATCACAGGCCAACTCAACCTTTACAAGCAATGTGAATCGTCGCAGCTCCTAACTACACAACTCGCATGCCAAGAAAACAAGCAATTTGATTTACTTTTCCCACTTTTTCTTCAGCTGAGAACGCATGAATTCTTGGGATAGAGAGGCGTCACATTCTCTTCACAAAGTACAAAGCTGCCTGTTAAGAAGGTAGCCTTTACAGAGGCTGATGAGGGACGCATTAAATTTTGCCCAGAAATAAATACTAGCCATGGGAACAACACTGATGATGGCTTAACTGATGCCGTGACGATGTCGAAGCCATGTGAAGAAGAGTCTTACTTTATTTGGGGCGATCACAGCGTCAGTCGGATGCATGATCTACAAAGTTATCATTACATCAGATATCAGTTACGTACGTTCCCGTCAAAACTGATCTTCCCAGTACTCTTACGGAAGCATTCAATCATTGCTGTCTGATTATCATATCGTTGCAAATTTCCACGATGATTCAATTCCGTTCCCCACTTTACTGCATCATGAAGCAGTGTGTGTTGAATCATTTAAATCGCTACTTGATTACACTTTTATCCGAACTTTATTGTAGCTGGAATAGTCTAAGACGCTGTCGACGATTAGGATGTCGGCCAGAAGACACTGTGCGCTTCATTTTGTCTCAACTAATTGCAGTTGAGGTATTTTGCTTTAATTTGGCTGCTAATGCTACTATTGTGGTTGCGAATGTTAAGTGGTGGCCATCACGGTGGCATCACAAATACCACCGTGAATCTCTCTCTGCCCTCTGCAATCAGGAGGATGCTTATGGAGACTGAATGATGCAAACAGACAGCCCTACACTCTTGCTTTTTTGACCAATGTGATTAATTTGTGTACAAAATAGAACATTCACTATTCTTTAGCACAACCGCTCCATTGAACAGGTCCACTATGCAGTTCGCTTTGCGTGGCACCCAATGTCTCACATTGTAGAGCCACGAAATAACGAATTTTTTGTTTGATGCAATTAAGCATAATACCATAGAGAGACCGACTAAACGAACTTTGGTTTCATGGGATTATCTTTGCCAGCCAAGGATAGCACGCTGAAGAATAAACATAATTTTTGGCCATTAATGTTGAGTATATTATTTGTACACTTTATGATGCAGGACATTTTAGAAATTTCCTGCAAATTAGGTGAAGAAGTGGAGCCGAGAGACTCAATTACCTTTCACCTGGTGATCCTCGCAAACTAACACTCCAGCAAGTTTGAAAATAGGAAACAGTGTCTACTGAGGCGTCCCAGTAGCAAAGCATGCTGCTGTTACCCAAAAGTTATGTCACGGAAATCGTAATTCTTGACATTAGTCATTCACACCTAGCTGTCAGTCTAAAGAGTTGTCATCGATGTTTCTCTTCTTTTCAATACTTACTCACGATTTTGGTGCTTGATTGCTCATCAATGAATTATTAGGAGGACGATTTACTGCATGCATCCACTTGCAAACCTGGTTGATATAAGAGACTGCTTCTCGCCACGGTATCGCCCCATTCTCTGATGCTACATCACTTTTACTGGATCAACCATTTCCCACTAACACGCTAGCTACTGTAGCAACTACTAGTGGTCCTGACCCTGCCCTATAACCCTAATTCGGTGTGCAACAGTCTTGGGAGAATAGAAATATGTGTTAAAAATAACTTCACAGTGTAATGCATTAAATTAAAGCATTGCGTCTGTGACCAGGATCAACCATCTCAGTAGGCAATCTAGTCAACTTGATACAATTTGATTTCTCTCACCCTTCACCAATTTCTCCTGCAGCTTGTCATCTGCAAAACAATAGGCTCCTTATGGAATTCGGAATGCCACTTCACAATGGTCATGTCATCAACTGGAATAAGTAGTGACCACACATATTTTGAGATTGAGTAATCTGCTTTGCCCACAGGACGTCCGATGGTAATCGCCCTAAGAGGGCATCTTACTAACATATTATTGAATAGTTAGCCACTCATCTATAGTTGCCATGATCCCTCTTCCTATCACATTGCTTCGCATAAACAAAATACAAAACTTTGTTTACCTAGTTTCCAATTACTTTTCGATCTAAGATGTAAAAATTAATGGACGTTGAAGTAAAATGCCAGATGAACTAGCAGATTGGCTTTGTCCTCAAAAATAGAGATTTATGGTGAAGTGTGAGAACACGTTTGTAATTTTGGCATCCTAAGAATAGCCTAATATATAATTCAGTGGCAAAATTTTCGTAACTTGTTTGTTTAAATATCCGATTGATGGAGTTGTTGCGTGCCACTATACTCTGCATTGTACTGGCGGCGTGAAAACCGAAGGAGATGATAATAATGTGAAGCAGAAAGTGTAGTAAGCTTACAGTGGTGGAAGAGCTACTGTCGACTAGTTAGCATGCCTACGAACATCAGGAGTATAAGTTACCTTACCATTAGGCAGGGTCTCGTAAAATGAATTGGAGCAGGAGCAAACTAGGCTCTCAATAAATTCAACATGGATTGATGCAGCATTCGTATCTAGGTATTCGGGTGCCACCTTCAGGCTGCTGTTAATTATGGACACGATGGTGGAGCCTGGAAAATTGGTGTTTACAAAAGGGAATGTGTAACTCAATATGGACCAGAACGGAGACCGACGAAAGTGTCACCAAGAGTAGAATGCCATTAAACTGAATAATTTGCATGCCAAAGAAGAGCTATTTCTATTTTG